ACGTGCGTTTTCTTAGATCGCACGTGTTGCTGTTTAGTTACCGAGTGCATAAACAGTTAAACCTAAGTCTGAGCGATCATCACTGCACAATCGTGAATCACCTGCATGCAACGACAGTGTTGAAATTGTATAAACATCACGTGACACATCCTACCAATTGAATCGATTTTGATATACAATGCCGTGTGAGTGTACGCGCTCTACACAGATCCGAATGGGTTAATACATACACAGACTTTACGGTTCACCCACTACACGAAGAAGTCCTGAATGAAGTGTGGCTGATTAGTGCGAATTAGTACAGCGTATCTATATTCCGTGTTAAGAACGTGAGTGATACTCATTATTGAACAATGAAAATCCCACAACAAATCAATGCTGTTCAAAAAGGTTCCCCTTATGAGGTCGCAGAGTGGAATCGACACGTGCGATGAGAATGCGCAAAATATGCGTGACTCGTATGCAAACTCGGTTGATCGTACAGACGTAAATGTATGGCCACATCTTGCGTCACACCAACAAGATAGTTGACAATACGCACGCTTTTGGTTCGGGCAAGGATATGCACTATTGTTTCACATAATCACCCCCAAGATGGCGTGACACCCCTCATCCCATTATGGATTATGAAAGCGTCAACACTTAGACAAGTGTTTTGGGCTGCCATTCTGAGCATACGAGCCAATTGCTTCTTCAGTTTTTCATTCAACATGACATATAGTCCCAGTTGACTAGAGCAACGATTAGTCAGCCTGTAACCACGACTACGAGTGACTGACCAAGAACATCAGACGTGTTACATGTAGTCACTTTTAACTCAACCCTATTCTGGACCAACCTGCTGAACTCCAAGAGGTTTGACAAAGTATACAAGACAGTCCATCTTTAGGGACAAAATATTTAGTGCAGAATAGCTGCCTATAACCAAAACAAAACAAGTTGCAAACAGGTTGCTTATTTGCTCTAAAACACCCTCGGGTATGTAATCATTGTATGTGCGGTACCAGTCGGTTTCAACATTGACACTCCTACTCCAAAACGGGTGAACAAACAGTCCGGCCTAAGTACAAACAAAATCTGTGTGATTCGAAAAACGCACGTGCCGTAGACCTTAGTTCCAGTCGATAGAATCAACAAGAAAAACGGTAGCAAGCGCAAAGATGATAACCATCAAGGTGGTGAGTCACCAGTGAGGTTAGTAGATGCAGGTCAAATTACCAACTCACGTGAGACACCAAGCAAGTGTCAGGCACGAGATAAGCATCGTTCAATACGAGTGAATTACATGTACAGGATCTGTGATTTAAACCTATACTCTGACAAGAACACAGATGTGAGGCCACATCAAAACGCCGAGCGAGGTATCAACAACGCACTGAACACAGATACCTACACGCACGTTTGCGTAAGCAACCAGACGTCCAGCAATCATGTAAGAGTAAACATGTCATCACATGATGTGCCACACGGCACTCAATGGGGCGCAGTTTACGAGGTGCAGTCAATATGAACGATAAACAATGCCACTCAGTTTACATTGAGGACAACGGAATGTCATGAAGCGATAAAAATGACGGGTTCCATCAAGTAGGTCGGACAGGCAATAAAACCTGTCCACATAGAATGCACATACAGTTCAAAGACACATGAAGTTGAGTGTAACGAATCAGGCTCAGGTTGAAATCAACACTAAGGCAAGCCAAATTCACGAGTATGAGCTTAAACCTGATAAGAAGCAAAGATATAGGAGTTGGCCTACAAATAAAGCAAACTGGAAAAACGATCGAATTTGAAACACTGGACGAAAAAAACAATAACGCCAAGAAGCATCAATATAAATTCTCGCATTTGAGAAGGACCAGTGTTAAATTTTTACATGGAGAATAAAGCGCTTAGATACACAGAGTTGTCAGGAATAACATGGAGGGACTTAACTTTCATTCTCTCCTCAATACTGCCAGACAAGCATCTAGGTTATCTGATAAGAAACAAAAACCCACAATAGGTAGACCACTGAAATGTTGCACATGGTCATACGAATAGGTAGTTGCTACAAAACGTTGTGTCTAAAAACCTATGATACACAAGCACCCAAGATCAATTTCAACTCGAACACAGCAAGTACAAGTTGAAGTCATGCGATTTCACTACAAGCTAGATTAGTAGTTAACTTTACTCGTATCCTATAGTCATTAACACGCAATTGGGAAATTTCTGTCGATAGAAATTGAATTTCACTCACAGCTGATCACAAAGTTAGTACGCAGATAGACTTTACAATGGATCCCTATCAAAGAGAAGCGCTCGGTCTGAGTTTCACTCTAACAGGAACCGTCTATGGTGCGGAAGTATGGCTTGTTCGTAACCAACATAGATGCGCTATGATTAACCATCGTTGTCTCCACCAATTAGCCCATATCAAGTGGGATTAATCGCGTGAGCAAGGCGGCAGTTTGCAGAATAACTGGGATAACCCATAAATTACATATATAGTAAAAATATGCAATCTGCGATGGCTGGGTCACGTGTTCTATAGGTTAAATGTACGTTAACTGTACCAGGTGTTGCCTATTGAGACCATCAAAGCTTGGTTAACCCCAAAAAAATATTAAGTCCCTAGCAGTGCTGTTGAGAAAATCAGCATGTGACGTTTGCCTGATTGAAACTGCATGATCATTCAAATCTGATATAGTGGCATGCCTCAGTTTTTGGGCGTGTCTGCGTTCACAACAGTGTTCTCGTTCAACTTTCTTTTAGTTCATTTTTTTTCTTTTGGGCAAATTCAAGACTGTCTTTTGATGATGTTGCGGTTATCAACGGTTCTAGAATGTATCATCTCGCCAAGTTTAGACTAGTTATTAGTGTGAAGATGACTAGTGAAGGCGCATTAGTGATATCCATGGACGCAGAGGATGGTGTACACTAATATGGATGTATTTTACACAGAAATGCATCAAAGGTGTTCAACACTGTTAAACCCTAAACTACACAAGCTTGGTGGGGAAAAAAACAATTTTCGAAATAATTTCATCTGCATCTTGGTCTCGGCGATGAAAATATTAGCAGGAATCGTTATCAAGAAAATACACCAAATCTCCTTCAGTACGGATGGAGCGCATCAATTAAATGTACAACACCAAGTGTGGTTCCCGATTCAGAGGATGTCAATTAGTCACAATAGTACTTGACTCCTGGTCAAGTCTCCGATCGCATAAACTAGAAACTAGGAGAGTCGAATGTGATGATAGAAGAGAGAAAAAAAACAGAAATCCAAATGATCATTCAGTTTCTTATCATCACTACAACTGTCATTCAAAAGTGAACATGATAAACTGTTACTCTGTCCCTAGGAGAGAGGTAATCAATACAATACAAGCCTCATACATTCCGTATTGAATCGAAACAAATAACAGCGATATCTGGTGAAATGTATTTTGTTGTGCTTTTCTTTTTCACTGAAGTGGGAAACATGAAATGGCAGTGTTGTATTCTGGAACATAATGCAGACATTGTCCTTCTTCTCACTAGAAAGATCATCATCAAGGTCTAGTTTCAACTATTTCCAAAGAAGCATTTCGCTTACGTAATCAGAAATAGCTGGTGATTATATTTTGTAGAACTGTGTTGATTACAATAAGTTTCGATAAGCACCTATAGTTGTGAAGCGAGTCTGGAGTTGGGATATCACATGTAAAATGCAAACTTGCACGTTGGCCGATTGACCGACTAACCGAAATACACGAGAAAGCACGGACAAAAACCGTCCGAAATCTGAACCGTTGTGTGATAATGACGCATGCTTGGGGTCGTTCATGTTGTCTCGAGTGCAGATTAATTTTTTGAAGAACGCAGGCGCCTATACAAACACGCACAGTACGAACCTGAGCCTTAACATGGTTGACAAACGGCGTAAGTCATTCACCTTTGCTATGGTAACAAAGTTTTAGAAATGTCAACGGCTGATGTATGTGTGTATGAGTCATCATATTCGCTCGGAGGAACTTAAAAAACTGTGTTCATTTGTAAAAACAAAGCGAAGTTAACTCTCGGGACAGGCTAATCTTTCGAAATTTTCTCCAAAATATTCGCTGAAAGGAACACGGCAACGAATGAAAGATCAAACGCCCGATTTATATATTCCTTCAGACTACCAATGCGATCAATTTAGTGACAATGTGCGAGATACGCTACAAATCAAGTATCATCTCGTAACATCGGCTGACCTAGTCTAAAGATAATGAATTATCAGTGTCTCTTCTGTGTAATTAAAGTCATTTCACGATTTGCCACGATGTTCGGGTGCCAATATATTGCACGATATGATGAGGTAATCTAAGTGACTTGCTGCTACATGATTTGTCATAAATTAAACTGCGTTTCTGGCGACTACTTACTGTCGATATAAAACACGTGTAGAGTCATATGTTGGTACAAGCTTAGTGGATATGTCAGTGTTTTCAACTGCGTTCCGTTAACATGAACTGATCAACTACACACACAGTAGACACTTCGAAAGACGCATTGAAATGTCTCCGGATAAACAGAACAGCTTGACATTGATATCCTATTTGAGTTAGTACGGGCGAGAAACTGTCTTAAAACTGCACACAACTGATAAACAATCCAAAACGAATGGATAAATTAGGACGTGGTGAAACAAAATACATGTACCCCAAAAAATCTGATGACATCGCATCTAACTACTGGTTAGTTTCACCTTTTAGATCAAAGCCATGGATTGGTCAAGGAACTGTCTGACCAACCCTGTGTGTTAAAACCTCTCCGCGTTAGTCACTCATCTGTCGTATATATGTATATGACAAAACTAATCCGCAATACAATGTCAATGCTCATTGGTGGCGTTGATGGATTCCAGCGTGAACTGATCGAGAAATCCTGCTTGGGCAGTCAATCGGCTGGATCATTTGGTGGATTCCATATGACACAGTTGGTTGGGTGGGTAACTAGGTCCAAATGTGAAATTTCTGAGCTTCCGGCGTGGCTTCGTAGCTCAGCTGGTAGAGCATTTGGGCATGTTGTTTCTGTCGCTGGTTCGAATCCAGCCGAAGTCCAGATTTTTCGCAATTGGGTCTCTTCTAAATTATCAAATCTGCCAAACTACTTGTCAGTAATAAAACTATGATCATTGTCAGTTAGAAGACATGAACACATAAGTCATACATATTTCCACAATTCATCTCCGATCAGAAGAAAAAGCAAACCAACAACCACACTTGCGATGTTTTGTCTAAATCAACATTCAATAAATCCGTTTCGAGTAAGACTTACGCCGCGACGGTGACTACAGCTGTTAAATTGTTAACAGTAAACAGACCGTAATGTTTAGACTGAAAACGACGTCCAGCTAAGGACACACATACAAACAGAAAAGTATGCAGTATGAGTGCTAGTGAATAAAAAATTTTCTTCCGCACACATGAGACTGTAGGCGCGCACATATTCCGTCTTACACGTAACGAGCAATCGACATTACTAATCTAAATTACTGTATGCCTGAATAACATAAACATGATACTGTTGTAATAGCACTGGGGTTCAATTAATTCTCTCAGCTATACGAACTATTCAGAGTACCTATCGAGTGGCTCTGAAGTTCACATGCGACCATTCGTTTGGAAACGCGTGAGAATTTCGTTCTCAAAGTAACCGCGGGAACTACATGTGTGTAAACCAATAAACTGCCATCTGCGTAGCTGTTCGATATTTCGTTCACCGACTGAATATCTATTCATTCCAAATAAATAAAATGTATTGTTGTTCGTATCTGACAGCGTTTGAACATAACCGTGTAAAACTGATAAGAACTGTCATGATCAGCGCACTATGGAAAGCGGATACACACAGGGCCAAGAAAATCATCTCCGTACAATGTATGGTAATATCTGTCAGTTTCACTAGAAAAAAATGATGTCATGTTCAGTGTTACCAACGGCTGAGTTGACCGCTTCATCAACTTTTCGTCTAGAGTTGTCAATTATCTTCGTCACTAAAACTACACAGATACCGCGTTGGTCCGCTTCGACGATTTCTTGAGGTCAGGAAGGAGCTCTCGTTCGTTTAGCTTGCGATTAAAGTAACTCCAAATGTCTTTAGAGGGGTTGAGACCAGGCGAGTGTAGTGACCAAGAAAAGGAACGAATCCAGCGTTCCTCCTCGGACTATTCGATCACCCACGCACAATAAGGTCAGACGACGTGATGAAGTCTTGTAAGAGACAATGACTCCTCCGAGAAGTTTAGGGTTTCTATGGTGTTTAAAGGCTGCTGTCCGGTAATGTTCCTGCGAAATATCATTAACTCACTCCTCCGCCATCCAGACCGATCGCTGCAGATGTACAGAACCTATGTTATCTTGAATAACGCAACACGTGCATTTTCAGCCTCAAACTTAGAAGACCCCATAGCCCTGTCACAACAGGAACATTGGTTGGTGAGTTTAGATAGCCCGATTCTGTATGATATTAACATACGTAAAGTGTTTCATGGTCCAATTCAGCCTTGCCATCATACAGATTTCGGTTGAAAGTTGGATCTGCATTAAGCGCCTGCATTTCATGTGCATGTCGTTTAAAAATCGTCTCATCATACCAAAAGAAGACGAAAACCAGCACGGCTCTGATAGCATCGTTTCACAGACACACGGATTGGCTGTCGTATACCGAAAGTCTCTTATACTACTCACTCCTCTTGAATATTCACCTCTCAGAATCCGTGTGCAAACTCAAACCGTTTGATTTTAGAACATCTAGTGGTTCCGACAACATTCAATGTTTTTCAAACTCATCGTCCCGATTTCCACATCCAAATGTTTAGCTAGAACCCATTTGGTTGAGTCACGATCAAATATCAATTGCTAACAGCGATGAATCCATTATGACGGCTAAGGTGAGCATCTACTCGAATCAACTTCGATCATGTGAGAAGCGTACACTATGGCTACTGTCTCCGACACCTCGATTTAATGGATGTCAGAAATGCTGATACTGAGTGATATAAGCAGTATCTACTGAAGTTGCCAGTCAAGACGACTGTCACATGTCTGCCAGAAGTAGCTCTCAGTGTTCAAGGTTCCATCTGAAATTATATGTTCCGATTTTCGGCTGGTTAGAGTGAGGAAGAAAAAATCAAGGTGCCAGATGTTAACTCGGATCAGATACTAGTTCGAATATCCACCTATACGAGGTCCGGAATCACGAAAAATAATGAATCACAGAAGAAGACCACACAACAAAGCAGATATATTAATGAAGACACAACCCGAAATCGTGACTGCAGATAAAGGGGACAGGGACATCATCAAAAGTCCGCAAGCTTTTAGAAAACACAACCGATAAGACCTCTGACCCACTGGAAAGAAAAGAATCAAACAATATAATAGTACCAGTGTGTGAAATGGAAATCCAGCTTGCATTTATAAGGCCAAGATAACCTCCGCCTACTTGAGTCATTCCTGGTGGGTTGAAGTCATAAGATTACAGCAAGAACAGTTCCGCTCCATAGCTGACAAAACAGGCCAATAACAACGGGATATTTCATTGTTGATATTAGCGTTCAACAGCACGCATCAGAAGATAAGCGACAAGAAGACGGATTTGTATTAATGGGGATCAAGCAAGTTAACTCACCCAAACACTTGAAATGTATACATTTATAAGGTTGTGAAATGCACGTGAATGAGAACACACTGTTCTCACCATGTTGTGCACTTTGTCAAGTCATCCTAAAGTGATGTGACAACCATATCGGTCAACCGATGGCCTCGTAAATGGTAACGATAGCTGCTGCCAAAAAAGTAGGAATTGTTCGTCTCACAGAGGGAAGACCTAGAGATCCACCTACTCCCTGAAAGGGAGGTGACAATTAAAGGAGCGTAGTGAAGTGACTTTTTCAATGTTTGACCAGGTTGTCTATGAGGTAAGAAACTTATTGAGTATTAGTAGATGCCGCTAGCTGTTTACAAATGCAATTCCGTTATTTTCTGGAAAATTGTATGCATTCAAGGGTTGATTGTTTGAGTTTAGACTTAGGAGTTTTAAACGTTAAGCCCCACATCACTCCGGCCTCTTCCATTTCTGAACTAGGACTGTTGTCTTGGTTGTATGGCACTCGAGAATCAGTTTGACCACTGACAATACCACTACACTATGCAGATTGACCAGTGAGGACCCCCAACATAAGCCGTGTCGACCGGATCAGCTAGGTGATCGGTTTAAATCGATCGAGCATGAATGTGTGGCACGTGACAAAAATACTTGCTAGGTACAAGCGGAGGTTTGCATTACACAGTCAATGAAGGTTGATAATTTAATGCAAAATGCAAATCAGTTTTGGACATGGATCAGCACAGAGTAACATGTGAAGCAAAAATCATGTGAACTCGCGCAGCGGGTAAACTTCACGGTCTGTTACTGAAAATCAGTTCAAAATGGAGTATAAGAGGGTCAGTGGAAATTACAAGTAGGGGCATTCGATAATCTCCAACGTTTGTACTGTGTTTACATTTTGGTGGCTTGAGATTGTAAGGTCAACTTAAGAGTTCACCGTCTACAACGCATGTCAATAAGCATATGGACTCATAAAAATGTTCACCACTCGTTTCAGTAGGAAAACATAGAACAATCGCTGACGTGTTCTCATTGTCAAGGTATATCGCATTATACATGTCACGTTGATGTAAGACGAGATTCGCATCAGTCGGTTCTTAACACCGAAACGAAATTGTTGCACTCCCGTCTACAGCAAACCGTCATACTAGCAAAGGTTGAGATCGCAGGTAATTCGTATGTAGCCTCCATCTCATTAGGATGAACAACCTACAAAATATAGTATGTAAAACGTACAATTCTAATTTGACGTGCACGTTGCCGTTTCATTTGAAATGTGATTCATAACAGATCTTAAAACATGCATCACATTACGAAACTAAGTTCAGCATGTAAACAAAAGTGTTTGTAATATTTGACTATCGTTAGGTGTGCAAATTAACAAGCTCAGTTTCCAGTTCAGCAACGTTTACAGAAAAGTCGATGTCACTTTCTAAGCAGAAGCGACATAGAATCGTCACACAGATCATAATGTAAACCGTTATCATAAGGAGCAATGACTATTAATCATCATTAGTTTCTGGTTTGAGCGTATAACTAACACCAAACTATTTTTGCTCGAGTCACTTATCCGTCAAATAACAGCGATATCTGGTGAAATGTATTTTGTTGTGCTTTTCTTTTTCACTGAAGTGGGAAACATGAAATGGCAGTGTTGTATTCTGGAACATAATGCAGACATTGTCCTTCTTCTCACTAGAAAGATCATCATCAAGGTCTAGTTTCAACTATTTCCAAAGAAGCATTTCGCTTACGTAATCAGAAATAGCTGGTGATTATATTTTGTAAGAACTGTGTTGATTACAATAAGTTTCGATAAGCACCTATAGTTGTGAAGCGAGTCTGGAGTTGGGATATCACATGTAAAATGCAAACTTGCACGTTGGCCGATTGACCGACTAACCGAAATACACGAGAAAGCACGGACAAAAACCGTCCGAAATCTGAACCGTTGTGTGATAATGACGCATGCTTGGGGTCGTTCATGTTGTCTCGAGTGCAGATTAATTTTTTGAAGAACGCAGGCGCCTATACAAACACACAGTACGAACCTGAGCCTTAACATAGTTGGCAAACGGCGTAAGTCATTCACCTTTGCTATGGTAACAAAGTTTAGAAATGTCAACGGCTGATGTATGTGTGTATGAGTCATCATATTCGCTCGGAGGAACTTAAAAAACTGTGTTCATTTGTAAAAACAAAGCGAAGTTTACTCTCGGGACAGGCTAATCTTTCGAAATTTTCTCCAAAATATTCGCTGAAAGGAACACGGCAACGAATGAAAGATCAAACGCCCGATTTATATTCCTTCAGACTACCAATGCGATCAATTTAGTGACAATGTGCGAGATACGCTACAAATCAAGTATCATCTCGTAACATCGGCTGACCTAGTCTAAAGATAATGAATTATCAGTGTCTCTTCTGTGTAATTAAAGTCATTTCACGA